AGGCACCTCTGAGTCCAAGGGACTTGAGGACCCCAAATCAAGGACATGTGGACTCAAGCTCACAAGCACTTGCACTGCTACCTGAATGCCGAGGGGCCAGTGGATCACCAGAGTCACCCCAAATTCCCATTAGCAACCTGTGGTCTTCATGGCAAATGTGCAGCATCTATATCGCCCTTGACACTGAAATTCCACAGACACTGATGTACCCTATGTGTAAAGTATCACATGTTGGAAGGACTAAGTGAGAAAATCTCCAGTGCTGGACACAAAATAGTTTTGTGACATGGCACATGTGTGTAATCCCAACACTATGAGTGGCTGAGGCAGGAGAATCTCAATGTGGTGACTATTATGATCAAAGTGGTGATCAAGTTCTGGTCTCAAAATAAAAATAAATAGTAGCCTATGGATATATCTCTTTAAAAATGCAACAGGTTAGGGGCTGGGGATTAAGCTCAGTGGTTCCACCACCTGCCTCGCAAGCTGAGGACCTGGGTTCAATCTCCGGTACCAAAAAAAAAGAAAAAAGCAACAGGTTAAATACACAGTAGTGTAAAAAAAATATTACGAAGAAAACAAGTGTGGGGCAGAGTGGTCCATGCTTGTGATTCCAGCTACTTGAGAGGCTCAGACTGTAGAACTGCAAATTTGTGTGCAGCCTGGGCTACATAGGGAGAACCTCTTTCAAATTTTAAAACAAAGGGTTAGAGATGCAGTTTGGCTTTCCCTGTGTTCAATTCCTAAGAACTACTGGTAAAATAAAGTCAATAAAGAAATTTTCAAAAGGCAAATTTTATTAGAACTTAAAAACAATACTTAAAATGTTTCAATGTGCCAGGAGGGTCCCCACATCGCAGTTCACCACAGAGTCATAGGGAGGTGCTGGCTGACTCCAAAGAGTACTGTCCAACACTGTCCGAGTCAGTCCCTCCCTGCTGGCCTGTGTCCAGGCTTCTCTGCATCCTCTCCTCGGCTATACACCAAACCAGCCAACTGGTGATGATGAGTGAAAATGCACTCACACTCAACAGTGTCATTGCAACAGCAAAACCCACAGGGTGAGAGGGGGATTTTGCAAAGAAAACCATTCCCACAATTATAGCTATGAGTCCCAGGCAGGACACAAGGAAGTATTCATAGGTGCTCAACTTCTCCCACATTCCCCTTAGCAGAAGCATCGTTGGATTGTCATCCTGCAAACGTTCGTACATTCTGATGTTTTACTGCCGAAATTAAGGGAGGAAGAAAAAAAAACGATGACAGGTCAGAAACACCAAAAGGTTAAACAGAAAGCTTTCACCTGTGTGTGAATTTGTGCCTATTGTGCCTTTCAATCAGAGCTTCCCCTCTCCACTATTCTGAGGGTGCTGGCTTGTTTAGGAGACACTTATACTGCAGTCTTGGAGACTCAGAAGGCCAGAATTGGTCACTGTGTCCCCACCCACCCAAAATAGGAACTGAACCAAGGGCACTCTCCCCCAGAGCTGCATCTCCAGCCCTTTATTATTTTCAGAAGGTTCTGCCTAAGTTGCCTGGGCTGCCTTAAACTTTGTGATCCTCCTGCCTCAACCTCACCAGAAGCTAGGATTCCGCGCATGCACCATGGTGCCTGGTGGCATTGCAGTTCTTTGTGGTATAAAATGCATCTTTACAGGCGTGGGAATGTAACTGAATGGGAGAGCACTTGTCCAAGCACCACATACAGATGCAAAAACAGCTGCACAAAAACTGTAGGAAGCTGTTCCAGGACATCCAGAAAGAATATTTTTCAGGGTGGAGTACTAGCCTCAGGCCACTAGAGGTAGAGTAATTCCAGCACTCTGGGAGGCTCTGGCAGGAGAACCTCAGGTTCAAAGTCAGCCTGGGTAACTTAGACACTGTGTCAAGAAAAAACCCCCACAAATACATAAAATTGCGCTGGTAGCTCAGTGGGAAGGCCCTGGCTTCAACCTCCCAGTTATTACAAAAGAAGTAGACTCTGCTACCTCCTGAAGCATCATTAATACTTGATAATCAAGTTTTATACTTTATTCAGTACAAGTCATAAAATTTAAAGTCAAAGATTAAAAACGAGGCTTAGAAGGAGAGGTCTGGCCAGCAGCCCAAGGGAAATGTTCTTCCTGTCTTCTGCCACCAAGAGAACCCGGTGCAAAGTTTGAAGAAGCAAAGCCCATGGTGGGGAGGGGTTGCCAGACAGGTCCACACTGCCCAGAGGCTCTTGCTGGAGACCTTGGGCACTGGGTATTAGAAAGCAGCAGCTGTAATTGCACACCCAAGTGGACACCCAAACCACTCAAATCTTCCTGGGGTTTTAACAGAGGAGTGGGTTGCTTTTTCTACTGTCTTCCTTTTTCTTAACTTTTTGTGGTGCTGGGCATCTAGCACTTTTGCACTGAGCTGCATCCCAAACTCTTTTCATGTGACAGCAGGGTCTCACAGCCAGGTATACTGGCTCACACTTATGATCCCAGCAGGTAGAGGCTGAAACAGGAATGTGGGTGTGCAATTGAGGCCAGCCTGGGCTGCACAGTGAATTCAAGGCCAGTCTATACCACATAGCAAGACTCAGCCTGAAGAAACAAATAGAAACGAAAGTAAATGAAAAGCAGGGTCTTATTAAGCAGCTCAACCTGGGCTGATCATCCTCTTGCCTCAGTTTCCCAGAGGGCTGGATGACAGCAAGGACCACCATGTCTGCTCCCAAATCTTGGTGTTACTTAGGGTGGGTATCGGTGTCCGTCTTAAATTGTTTTATATATTTTATTTTCAGACAGGGTCTCATAGTTGCTAAGCTGCCCAAACTGTGCTGAACTCG